TAATGGCACGAGACAAATGGCTTGGTCATTGTCTTCGGTCCATTCTCTCCAGGGTACCTAGTGTTGGCTGCTGTCGACAGACAGGATACTGAGCTAGATGGACCTTTGGTCTGACCCAGTACAGCCATTCTAAGCTCAGGGCTCAGGGTCGGGGGTCTCAGTGGACCGCCTTGATTTTCATGCATACCTGCTCCTGGGTGGCCAGGCTGGCAGCTATCCTGCCCTAGACGGCCACTTTCCTGTGACTAGTGCGGAGGTCATGGATGAGGTCCACGATGTCCACACTAGACCAGGCGGACGCCCGCCTCTTGCGGACCTGGGCAGATTCCCGGGAGCCGCCATCCTGGTCCCAGGAAGAGGCGGAGGGCTGGGTGGCAGCAGGTGGCTGGCTCGAGCCGTGCCAGGTGCAGGGTCTGCTGGCTGGGTGCTGGCAGGCTTGCACCTGGCACGGGCACCGTGGCCAGCCCGTGCCCCTTTAAGGGCTCCGGGGACGGGAGGGGGGCAGAAGAGTTTCCCTGGTGGTGCCCAGAGTGGCCACCAGGGAAAGCTGGGAAGGACTAGCCTCCTACTAGTTCGAATATAGTGGCTACACAGCCCTTAATTCGAACTAGTTAATTCAAACTAGGCGTTAGTCCTCATGGAATGAGGTTTACCTAGTTCGAATTAAGCGCACCGCTAGTTCTAATTAAGTTCGAACTATTGGTTCGCATGCGTAGCGCCTATCAAAGTTAATTCGAACTAACGTCTGCTAGTTCGAATTAACTGTGTAGTGTAGACATACCCATATTATGTCCAACCCAAAAGGTATCAGTGTTTTCTTTATTCATGGCAGGGGTGGGGAGCACTTTCTGGGTCGGAGGTCACTGACCCACAGAAAAAAATCAGTTGGGAACCACACGAGTAAGAAGCAAAAAAAAAAAAAAAAAAAAAAAACCCAATTTCCCCCCCCAATACTCACTGATGCTTCCTTCCTTTTTTTTTTTGTTTTTATTTTTTGTTTGTTTGTTTTAAACCTGCTGCCTACTTATTTCATTGCATAAGCACTGGTTCTTAATTAATGATTAACACTTCCTTAATTATACCAGTCATGATTTTATAGACTTCTATCATAGTCCCCCTTAGTATTTTACAGAAATGCATAAACAACAGCCAGCACAAGAAAGCTATTAGCCAGGATTGTTGCATCTCTACTTTGTTAATCAGTTATTTTTAAGCACTATGCAGAAATCTAGCTGACCTGGAGGTGCCTTGTAAACAAATTCAGTCCAGTTGCTCTCCTTTATAACGTCTTCTGTTTCTTTTGAAAGAAGCTGTGTTTTAACTTTAGCATAGAAACCAGAGTGTAGCCCAAGTCTTATAATCCTTTTATTTTCTTGAAGTCTTTCCTGGAAGAAATCGTAGAACTGCATTTTAATGAAAAAAAACTCTGTGCAATAGCCAGCTAGTGTTATTAATAACAAAAAGGTCTGCAAATTACAGCCATTAAATAATGCATTATCTCATTTTACCAAGACTATGTATAAAGTATACTAAGTGACTTACTAGAATTTCCTTAGCTGTATCGAACTTACACATCAAAACATATTTCACAGAATATGTCTCCATTTCTTCTGTAATGTTACTGTTCCAGGAAAGAATAACTCCAAAGTCATTTTTAACAATGTGCAGATCACTAGGTGCCATAATAGAAGCTATAGATGCAGTAAGATGAACAGTAATTAGTATTACATTATAGGTGGTTCAGATGCCCAACATTTCTTATTCTAAGAACATCCAGGATCTTGAGGTGGGCCAGAATTTCTTACGCTAAGATCTTATTTTCAGTTGCTGCTAACTTTATCAAACTTTAATTGTTTGTGCTGAAATGTTTAAAATCCTGGGTTTACCAAAACCTGAATATGTCTGAAAATGTCCAGCCAAAAGCATTGTGCCCTTTCTAGGACCAACATAGCAAAACATTTATTATTTGATCCACTTTAAAAGGTCTTGAGACCTTTTATTTGAAATATCATAGAACTGCCATATTATGGAGCAGGGACTTGATATATGGCAGGCAGGGTGGCCTTTGTGTCACAGATTTGCCTTTTGCTGTCCTTGTTCTTTTGGGCTGTGTCTAGACTACATGCCTCTGTCGGCAGAGGCATGTAGATTAGACAGATAGGCAAAGGCAAATGAAGCTGCGATTTAAATGATCGCGGCTTCATTTACATTTACATGGCTGCCGCGCTGAGCCGACAAACAGCTGACCAGCTGTTTGTCAGCTCGCGCGCTAGTCTGGACGTTCCCCCTGTTGACATCAAAGCCCTTTGTCGGCAGCCCCGTTATTCCTCGTGGAATGAGGTTTACCGGGGCTGCCTGACAAAGGGCTTTGATGTCGGCAGGGGGAACGTCCAGACTAGCGCGCGAGCGGACAAACAGCTGATCAGCTGTTTGTCGGCTCAGCGCGGCAGCCATGTAAATGTAAATGAAGCCGCGATCATTTAAATCGCAGCTTCATTTGCCTTTTCTGAACAAACAAATCTACATGCCTCTGCCGACAGAGGCATGTAGTTTAGACGTACCCTTGCTGTCCACCCCAATCAGGCCAATGTATAAGTCTTTGAAAAACTGCAGTTTGTGCAGGTTCAGTTGAGTTCTTAGATTTTTAGCAGCTAAAGTCCCCCCAAAATGTGTCTGCGCTGAAAAAACGACAACAAACTACAACTGCAGCTCTAGACTGGCTGAAGGCAGGGTGAGGTCGAACTAGGACTAAGACCCGGGAGCTTGTCTCTCCTGTGCTGTCTATACCCCACTTGCTGGGCCCAAGCATCCTGGAGGAGGAAACGGCCTGATTCAAGTTCAGATGTGTTGAGAGAGCCAAAGCTGTGGATGGGAGGTGGCAGGGCAGAATAGATTTGGAAAAGGGAGACAATGGACTAGGATTAAAGGCTGGTGGCAGGAGAGAGGGAAACTGAGACTGGAACAGGACTGGGAGAGCAGCGCGGCCTGTATCGGCCGGATTCCCCGCCGAGCGGGCAGGAGCCATAGTCCTGCCTAACAGGCCCTGGGCTGGGACCCGGTGCAGAGGGAGGCCCAGGTCCCCCGACCCCCCTTTCCCTCCCCTGGACAATCCACCCCTGGCATCTCTGGGCAGCGAGGCCTCCAAAACCGTATTTACGTTGATAGAGGGGCACGGACTTTATGTTGGGACTGTTAGTGCTGTATTATCCTGAGAGAGGGGCATAGACTCTATGGTGGGACTGTTGGTACCGTATTTACCCTGCTGGGGGGGGCAGGAACTTTATATTGAGATTATTAATGCCGTGTATGCCCTGATCTAGGGACCCGAGCGAGCAACGAGACCTTAAGGGCGGGGGGCACACTCCATGCCGGGGGCGTGCCCCGTGACACTCCCCCATAACAATTTTGCATTCATGGGAAGAGCTGGGGGCACAAAAATAGCTTCCCAATATGTCAACTCCTTATGAGCTATGTCAAGGAAGTATTTTTGGACTAATGAATAATAAAATCAATGATATGCCTGAGATACATTGATGATATTTTCATTCTCTGGACAGACAACATAAAATCCCTTATAGATTTGTATCATAATTTCACTAATAACCACCCACCCATCTCTCAGACTCTCTCTAGAATACTCCCACTCCAACTTCATGGATACCACAATCCGTTTCAGCAATCAAACTGTGGGTATAGGAAACCCACAGATCACCACACTTCACAGATCCAATAACCACTCCAAACGCATTAAGAAAATGTTTATCTACAGTCAGGCCCTCAGACACCACAGAATGTGCTCCCAAAAGGAAGTCTGGGATTTGCATCCGAGCACACTCAAAATCACCTTCATCAAGCAAGGCCACTCTACCAGATAAGCTGACTGCACCATAGAATGGCCAAGGGAGCCTCCCGTGCTGTCCCTTCCCCAAACTCCAGCTCTGCAGTTCCCATTGGCTGGGAACCACAACCAATATGAGCTGTGGGGGTGGTGCCTGTGGGCAGAGGCAGCACAAAGAGTCACTTCGCTGTACCTTCACTTTGGAGCCAAGGGACATATCACCATTTCTGGGGAATATCTCAAGATCAGCACCACCCAGTACCCCTGAAACCCATTCTCTTCCTCAACCCCTTCTGTGCCCAACCCTCTGTCTCCTTCCCATGCCCTTCCCATTCCCAAACTCCCTCCCAGAGCCTGCATCCTGAAACCCCTCCCATGCCCCAACCTCCTACCCCACCTTGAGCCCCCTCCTGCACACAAACCCCTCATCCCCAGACCCACCAAAGAGCTGCACCCCAGCCAGAGCCCTCATCCTCTCCCACACTCCAACTATCTGCCCCAGCCTGACCCCCCCGCCTGCACCCTGAAACTCTAATTTTTGGAGTACTCCAATTTGGAGTACTCATCCCCCCTCCCTCAGCCCATGCCTCCTCATAATCTCCTGCCCCAACTAGTGAAAATGATCAAATAAGTGAGGATGGGAGAGAGTGAGTGACAGAAGGAGGGGGAATGAGCACAGGGTGGCCCTTTGGGAAAGGGTGGGATGGAGCAGAGCCTCAGGGAATTGGTGGAGAAGGAGAGGTATAATGGCGTTCAATTTTGTGCAGCTAGAAAATTTCAGTCCTAGTAATGACCCTTTAGTATCATTTTAAATGTCACACAACTTACCAGTTATTGATGGGTGTCCATTTGCCAGGCAAACAGAAATCATCTTGTACCAGGTTAAGGCTAAGCAGAAGCATGCTTGATGCATTAACTGGAGCATGTGCCCCTACAAATGCTTTGCACTTCAGTTGAATTTAAAACTAAAATACTTCAGTTCTGTTCAAGGTTGAAAAGACTGCTAGGGCATGACAAAATCTGTGAAAACAAATTTTTTAACATTTTAAGTGGTTTCTCGGAGAAGACATACAGGCAGTCCCCGGGTTACGTACAAGATAGGGACTGTAGGTTTGTTCTTAAGTTGAATTTTTATGTAAATCGGAACTGGTACATATTGTAGGGGAAACTCTAGCCAAACATTACTCCAGAGCTCAGTTTTATTCTCCCACACCTCACTTCCCTCAGTCCTTTATTCTCAAGCTGAGGTGTCTGCTTAGAAAAGCCGCTCCGCGTCTCCCTGGTCTGCTGGAGGGGGGTGCTAGCTTTGCGTTTCCCTGGTCTGCTGCGGGGAAGCAGCTAGTGCGGGGTTGCCTCTCCCTGTTTGTAAGTAGGGATCCGATGTAAGTCGGATCCATGTAACCCGGGGACTGCCTGTATATCGTGGACACAAAATGTCATTCTGGATTTTGTCATAAAAAAATAGTCTCAATTAGTGTCCCTCCATTTTTTTCCATTCAGGGGTAGAATAAATTTTGTTATGTGCACTGAGACATACACAGATATATACCACAAGTAGAAACACATGCTGCCGGCTATGGGAACTCTGCTAATCAGCTAGACGGTACCTGAATCTCTCCTGGGTGACCGTCCAAGCACTCAGCTTACAGGGAACACTGGTACCAATTCTCAGTCCTAATTAAGTTATAGTTAGTGCAAGTGGGGTTGGTGGTGGGTAGGGCAAACCACTGCATGCCACCTTTACATTCTACATCTGCCACTTTCCAGCACTGCCCGGGTGTTTCAGTGCCCAGCACTAATTAGAGCAGCTCAAAAGTTTGAGATTTTGTGCAAAAATCATCTGGTGAACTGAGAAAGCAGGCAGTCTGAGTCACAATACGCAAGTAACAGAACTCAGCAGTTGACAACATACCTTTACATGGTTTATATCAGTTATTCTGATGAAGGGTTCTTTGTTTTAAAAGTGCAATACCTATATATAAGATACGACTCTTAAGCCATGGGCTTTGAGCAGCATGTGGGGCCATGGCAGCCAAGGAGCCTACCCAAAGGTCCTGCTGGGCTTCTAGCTGGGAGTCATGTAAGGTAAGTGCCTCCAGGCCAGAGCCTGCATGTAGTTCTCCATACCCCAACGTAAGGTAAGTGCCTCCTGCACCCAGACCCTGCACGATAAACTCCTCTCTCAAGTCACAACTCTCTCCTGCACCCAGATCCGGCACAATAAACCCCTCCCTCAGGTCACAACCCCCTCCACATCCAGACCCTGCACGATAAATCCCTGCCTCAGGTCAGAATCCCCCACTGTACTCAGACTCATTCCCATATCCCTCATCCCCACCATTAATATAATAGAAAAGAGCAGCCCTTCATCACTTACCAAATTCTTGGAATGCTTCCCCATTGAAAATGATTGCTCACCCCTGTTTTAAGCTATGGCTGGCCGTGAGGGTAAAATAGAGAGACAGTATACTGTGTGGAGGATTTCTGATTATTTTGCTAGAGGGCACTCAGAAATTAGGAAAACAGGGTAACATTTTAAAAAGCAGCATTTTAAAATGTTTTTACTGAAAAAGTAGGATTTCACTAAAAAAATAACCTGGATGTTTCAACTGCCAGATTTTGAAACTAAATGCAATCTTTAAAAGGTGAAGCAGATATTTTATTGCTGTTTTAAATGCACATTTCAAAGCAATTTAAATGATGGTGTCACTACAATATCTATGTAAATAGAACATGACTAGTGCTTAGGCTGTATTTAAAGTTGAGGACAAAGGTTTTTCTAACACTACTTGCAGTGGTATTATATTATGATATGTAATTATATGAAATATTTTGGAACAGTAAAATACCCAGTACAAGTAAACTTACATTTATAGATGTGGGCTTGTACAATTGAAAATAGCAGCTCTTAGTCACGCATATTTCCAAAGTTTTACTTCACATTATTGCAGTACATTTTACAGCCTCAGAACCTGTCTATGGCTTCTGTTTTGGCCCAGGCAGCTCCATGAGATGTCCCACTCCTGAAGAAGTCTTGTTTTCAGGCTATGTATTGACAACCTGAGAAACTAATGTGAGAGACTTCCCTCTTCCCAAGACAAAACTGCATATATCAGTGATTGCCATCTCTCACTACTAGCATGGGATTAAATTTAAAACCAACCCTCAAGGCGTGTGGATACATCCTAGAACTTTATCCAAGGTCTTCAGACTGCTTTGAGTTTCATCTTCTTTGAGACCCCAACAGTCACATCTCTTTCCTTGACTTCTTTAGACGAGAAAGTTTTCAAACCACTTCATACCTTGCTATCAGCTCTTGTCTTAAACCTTAAATGAAGCCTTAAATGAAATTTAATCAATCAATCCCTACCATAGTTTCAAAAATAAAAGCCCTTATTTTAGGAAAGATTGTACAGGACTTACCTCAGCCTCCATTGCTTTCCTGTGAATAGACATGTATTCATCCTGCTGTATGCAGCAAATAAAAAGGAAATAGATCAGCAGAAAAGCCTCAGCCCTAAAGGATGGGGAAAGAATGACTAGCCGCATCTTGAGGAAAGGAAACTTGCTATCAATTTCATTTTTCATATCAGATCTTCCTAGAATTGTTGAGCTTTCGTCTTGTTAATCATGTTCATTATATTGTTTAAAATATATTTTTAAATGTAATAAAATTGTGTTAGAATACTGACCTTTGACTGACAACTGTTTAGGGCTTCCTCTTGAGGGCCTGGGTGGTAGGCTGCGTACATAGCCATTTATAACTGTTCAAACAGATATTTTCATTGTGTATGCCTGATATATTGGGAGAAAGGTTATGCTAATAGGATTCAGAAGTGTCTGAATATCAGATTAAGGAAATATATATTGTATTGTCCATGATCATAAAACACTTTCCCCTGTTTTATGAGAATCTCTAACATTTCCATATTTTGGATTAGGGATTTAAAATTTGATGGGAGGAGGGATTGGCTTGATATCAAGACTGCTTTTTGCCACTTCTGTAAAAAAAACTGCTAAATTTAATAAACTATAAGACTCTGCAAAATCTGTTTACACATGCTCAGTGACTTGTTTGGCAGCTAAATTCTCTGAAGATTCACACAGCTACAAAAGCCAAGCAGGACTTTCTCTGTAATTGAAGCTTCTGGCTGCTAGGAAGCAACTGTGGTGCCAGGCGCCAGAAGTGAGAGCAGGAAGCTCTCCCGTCCTGTGTTTTCAGTGTCCCCTGAGCATGCAGAGAAAGAAGGAAAGTACCTGATTCAAATTTAGAGGGATTAGGAGTTGGCAGCGGAGGGGGGATTGCAAGAAGAGAAGCAAGGTGGGAAAGGGCAAATAGAAGCTGTGGAAGAGTAAGGATAGAAGAAGGAGCTGGGAGTGGGCATTTGGAATAGATGGATACAAAAAAAAATACAAGAAAGGAGATAGGAACAAAGAGAAGTTTAAGATGACAGGAGCCAGGGACTGGGGGAAGATAAGAGCAAGGAGGGGAAGGTCAGGATTTGATGACAAAATATCAATTAGAGCAAAGGGAAGGAGATAGGGCCAGAACAACTTGCAACACTAAATCATAATCTGCTCCAGAATCTAGTACAGTTGAACCTCTCTGGTCCAGGAGTCTTTGGTCTGGCAACATCTGTGGTCTGGCAGGACCATGGATGTTGCTGGACCAGACAGCCCCTAGACAGAGAGCCCCAGGTTGGGGCAGTGGAGTCTTGGCACCCTAGGGCAGCGTCAGGACTGCGGAGTGCCAGTTGCTCCACAGCTGGCCATGGATCTGAGGAGCGGAGCCCCAGTGGTCCAGAACAGTGGGACCCCAGTGGCCCTGGGGCAGCAAAGAACATAAACATAACATAAGAACATAAGAACGGCCATACTGGGTCAGACCAAAGGTCCATCTAGCCCAGTATCCTGTCTACCGACAGTGGCCAGCACCAGGTACCCCAGAGAGGGTTGACCGAAGACAATGATCAAGCGATTTGTCTCCTGCCATCCCTCTCCAGCCTCTGACAAACAGAGGCCAAGGACACCATTTTATCCTCTGGCTAATAGCCTTTTATGGACCTAACCTCCATGAATTTATCCAGCTTCTCTTTAAACTCTATTATAGTCCTAGCCTTCACCGCCTCCTCTGGCAAGGAGTTCCACAGGTTGACTACACGCTGTGTGAAGAAGAACTTCCTTTTATTAGTTTTAAACCTGCTACCCATTAATTTCATTTGGTGTCCTCTAGTTCTTGTGGCCCTGGTGGCCCAAGGGCAGCAGAGTCTGGCAGCCTTGGGCAGCAGAGCCCCAGCAGACTCAGGGCTGGTCGGGGAGCTGGGAGCCTGGTGGCCCAAGGACGGGGAAGCCTGGTGATATATACTGAGAGATCCTGGGAGAGTCCAGAATCTGTAAGCAGGGGAGCCGACAACCCTTGGTTTGGCAAACTCCTTCCTTCAGGACCGGTCAGGTCCCAATGGTACCAGACCAGGGATGTCCAACCTGTACCCAACCTATTGTCACCTGGTGTCAATTTTCCTGTGTTATCTGGTAAACAGCTGTGAAAATGGTTGGCGAAGTAGTATCTCCATCCCCCTTTAGTGACAGGGCCACATACACAAATAAAATCTCCTCTTGCTTTTAAGTCCATTAGCTGACGTGGTAGAGAACTGTGCTGCAGATCTGAAGATTCATGAGGAACCATGTCAGAGGTGCCGATAGTGCCACATGAGGATTATTTATTATTATTTATTTATTTATTGTGAAAACTTAGGCGAGTTTATTTTAAAACTGCATTAAAGAATGATAAGGTTGCAAGTCAAGTACTGAAAAGATAGGAAATGCCAGAATTAAGGTTGCCTATGCACTTCTGATGTACTTTCAATCCCTGGAATACATACTTTAGGACAGTGTTTAATTACACGATCACATCGTCTTTTTTCACAGGACCCTGCCTCATTCAGTACACATGCTGGATCTTCTCTGAGGATGACTCTGGACTGTGCAGAGAAGGAGGTTGTTGTCTGAAGTACCCCTTCTTCATTTGCTGAAGACATTAGTAGGTGTGTAACGAATGATACAGGGGACTGTGAGGGAAGTAGGAGTGAGTTAAGTGTTACTGTTGCTGGACAGATTCAGCACTCCACCCAGAAGCTTCTGGAGTTGGGTCCAGTCTTTTGAGGGCAGACTTCATGAGCAAGCTGGCAGGGCAGATGCTTTTCTAAGGGTCTTGTGTGAGCTGGGAGAAGCTGATCCAGGAGCTGAAAACAGGCTGCTGTTCCTCACTCTGCAGCACTTTGCAGCAGGTAGTGAAGTTGTTAACCCTCTACCAGGGCTCATGGGCAATGCTACTTAGATCTAGGAGAACCTGGGAGGGAAAATAACTTCTGTGTTAATTATCTGCTTTAATTGTTGTTTAGATTTTAGTCAAACTGTTCTAGTTCACTTTCTTAGTCAGTGTGATCCTTCAGCTCTTCTGTAAATGTAGCAATGGGGAGAGAGTCACATCTATTTTGTTATTCTCAGTTTTTGTTGTTGTTGTTGTTTTGGGGTTTTTTTGTTGTTTTTTTGTAGCGGGGGTTCTTTCAGTCTGTTTGGTCACTTGTGAGCTAACTGACTAGTTAATCAGTGAGCTGGCTGCCTAGCAGTGATCATAGCAGAGGAAGAGTCTGCTATAGGTGAGAGGATTATTTTAGGAGGGGTGGGTGAAATTCTGTGGCCTGCACTGTGCAGGGGGTCCGACTAGATGATCATAATGGTCCCTTCTGAACTTAACGTCTATGAGTCTATGAGTCTGCCTGGACTGCAACTGAAGATTCCCTACAAGCAAGTGGAGAGAGAATTCAGACTTAGCATATGGCGCAGAGTTGATGATCAGAGGCAGGAACTGAGACTTTGGTGAACTAAATCTAAGCTTTTGGGATCTCTTTTCTTACTGTGTTTGTGTGGACTGAACTGTTCAAATTTCACTTTTAGTTTTCTCTTTACTTATGTTTACTGTAACTATGGAGATTATCTGTGGGTTATAAAATATCTGTGTTCTGTGTAAGAATTAGATTATTTGTTTCTTCATAAGATTTTATAGTTATTTAATTAAATTAGTTTCTTTAGTTTCTTTTGGAACTTGAATGTAGGGAGGCTGACACTGGGCAATCCTCACTGAAATTCCTTACAGACTGAACTCTGGATTTCCAGTACTGCTGTGGAAATGGGGGTTTCTTTCAGACACTGGAAGAGGACAGTAAAGTCTAGCCCACCCAAGGATAACACCCCCATTGTAATTTATATGATTTCATAATTTACCATAGTATCAAATTAGAAAACAATTACTTTGAGCTAACTGTACAGAGTACAATTAAATGTATGGATTCGAGGTGGATGTTGTGCTCTTTTTCTCATGTCACTGTGATTCCACTTGCTTCACTAAAGAGGATTTTTTTTTTTTGGTTTTGTTTTGTTTTTTCCAGTTCATGCCATGGACTTAGGACGCGTTTGTCCCGACACTCCAAAATGATCTCTTTCCAGTATTCATCTTTTAGCAATTATATTCAGTGGAACAGAATCATAAATGTAAATTACATTACATTTGTGCAGCCTTATTTAGTTCAATGGAGCTACATGTGTTTAAAAGAGAATATGGTCCATAATCATAGATCAAGTACTAACAATGTAAGTTTAAATAGAATTTCAGTTCTCTATTAGTCACATGGGAAAGTGTTCTTATCAATTTTTATTTATTAATAAAATGAACGATTTTGTAGGTTATTTTCATAGCACACAAATGGAGAAGATTGCTAAAAGCATCAAATACTTTTGCTTGAAATTTGCAACTTAACACTACTTTATTTCTTAGAATCACAACATACAAGAATACAAAAACTGAGAACAACTAAGCAGGCTGCTCTTTAAAACAGAAAGGCTGTGTCTAGACTGCACCCCTTTTCCGTAAAAGGGATGCAAATTAGACATATCGCAATTGCAAATGGAGCTGGGATTTAAATCTCCCCAACTTCATTAGCATAAAAATGGCTGCCGCTTTTTTCCGGCTTGGAGCTTTGCCGGAAAAAAGCGCCAGTCTAGACGCGGATCTTTCGGAAAATAAAGCCTTTTCCGAAAGATCCCTTATCCCTCATTTTAAGATCCGCGTCTAAACTGGTGCTTTTTTCCGGCAAAACTCCGAGCCGGAAAAAAGCGGCAGCCATTTTTATGCTAATGAAGCGGGGGAGATTTAAATCCCCGCTTCATTTGCAATTGCGATGTGTCTAATTTGCATCCCTTTTACGGAAAAGGGATGCAGTCTAGACACAGCCAAAAGGTGCAACCAACTTTACCCTGTCTAGATGCAGACTGACTGCTTCTAATCCAGATTACATGCATTTCCATGGACTCTGCTAGCCTGAAAGCTGGGCCAAGAAAAAAGGAGTGAAAAGTAAAATGTATCCTATGATTGTTGTACATTTTTCAGTGCATCACAAAACATGAATTGTACATTGA